GGCCCAGCCGGCGTCCGCGGTCGCCGGCCGGCGGGTGGGGGCCGGCTCGTGGGGTCCGGACGCCGGTGGGGCGACGCAGCGCTGCGCCTTCGCGAAGTTTGCACCTGAGCCGGGGCTCCCGGCGCTGGACCGACAGTTCCCGGGGTGTCGGGCAGCCCAGCGACCCTCCGCCGGACGTCGTCCCGGCCTCGAGCCGGCGTGCGTGCGAGAAGTCGCTGCCTGCCGAGGAGGGGACGGCCGGGACACCCAGCGCCTCCGCTCCCCCCACTTTTTCTTCTTTTTTTTTTTTTTTTTCCTCTTTTTTTTCTTTCCCCTCCCCCCTTTTGTTTTGCTACCTTTTCAGTTTGAATAGTTTTGTCAGCATGAATAAAATACCAAGAGGGAAATGACTGGTGCTTTCGGTTACGTGTTTTCTTGAAAAAAAGGAAAAGGCCCGGGCCCAAATTACGTGGTGGAACTTTGACTCCTGCTTGGTAATTGGCTAAGTGTTGTTGACTTATTTTATGTTGTTATTTGTGAAATTAGCCGTCTTCCTCGGGTGGCTGAGCTTGTAAAGCTGCCTTCCCGGTTCCCTTTCCTGGGTCTTTTCCGCAGTTGCTTGTTAAAGTAGTCCCTGGAAGTGAGGACCTGGGGTAGGAGGCGCCATCAGGGAGCTATTGATTGGTGATGTGGTAGGAGCTTTGGATTTACTTGGGCACGTAGTTTTTCAGATCTCATTTACATAAACATCAGCGCTCATTTCCATATTTATTCTTGAAATCTCAAAGCTACAGTACTTTGGGTTGGGGAAAGCCTTTGTTCTTTTGTTGGTGGTGGTAGTGGGTGTTGTTTTTGGTGGAGAGATAATTTAAAACTTGGTAAGACTTTTGAAATGCCTTTCAAAGATCAGAATTGTCTTCGCTTTTATCTGTTAAAGTTGGTGTTCAACTTTATTTATTCTGTTAAAGTTGGAGTTCGGATAAATTTTGGGCTCTGTCTCTGAAATGCAGTGTCTCTCCAGCAGGAACGGAGCGAGTCTTCTCCAGGGGATCTTGCCGCAGTTCCTGACATAATTACCTTCTTGTTAATATATTTTGGTTGTGCTGTTTCTGGTTTTATTAGCTGCATAGAACCTGCCACTTTTCTAACGTATATAATCTTTCTGTTGGCCTTGTCAAAAATAAAGCTGAAACCAGGTGTGGTAGTGCATGCCTGTAATTCCAGCACTCAGGTGGCAGAGGCAGGAAGGTTACTTCTGGTTTCAAGGCCAGCCTGGGCTACATAGTGAGTTCAAGGCCCAGTGTGAACTACTCAGTGAAACCCTGTATCCAATAGGCCGAAGATGTGCAAAGAATTTTTATTTTGAGGTTTGTTCCCAAATAGTCAAAAATTATCAGTTACACACTCTATTACACAATCTTATTGTGAATTTAAAATTTGTGAATGAGACCTCTTCCCTGGTGATCAGTGGTGGGCGTTTTCCACTCTGATCTTCTCTGCACTTCAGATGAGATACAGTTTGCCTACTGCTGCAGGTATAACTCATGAAAATTTTATTTGTGGTGAAACCTGAACCTGATTTTTTTACCCAATTGGAAAGGGCAGTTGTACGCTTACTGAACTTGAGTTGATGTATCGTCGTTGAACACACACTTTGTAGCATGCATAAGCACTTCCTGCTTTGGTACATGCTGCTCTGAAGGCATGGTCCCATAATTCTGACTCAGCTTTCTTTTTTGGGAGGGGCAGGTACCCTCAGTGGAACTCAGGACCTCGCGCTTCCAACCTGGCGCTGCTCACTGAGCTCCTGGCCCCTTCCTCAGCTTTCTAATCACAGTTCCATCTGGTCTGTTCACAGTGAGACCAGCCATTACCATTTGAAGAGGACCAGCTATGAAGCACTTAGTAAAAGAGGCCACTTCCTCCGCTTTCCGGTTTTCCTGCTTCTTGATTCTTACATTAGGCCCAACTCTCATTGCTCAGTTGTTCCCAGAGAGTGAGTTGTTGTTACTCCCTTCAGACCCTTTTCCTTTCCCAAATCTTGAGTAGCTTGATTTTTTTTCCCCTTTCCTTTATTTAATTGGATAGGTGGGGTAAATACACTTACTAATGATGAAAATTTTAAGAAAGTTTTAGGCTCAAATGGCCCTCTGGCTATTGCTTATAAACATTATGTGATTGGAAATAAATTCAGTATTTGGATATTTTCGATAGTGCTGGGTTGCCGTTGAATTTACCACAGAAGGGCTTTAGTTCCTTCAGATCATTTTCTTTTTTTTTTAATGGTCAGCTCAGCCCACCCTGGGGGTGGGGCTGGCATGGCATGTGGTGCTGGGGATCCAACTGAGGTCCCTGCATGCTTGCCTAAGCTTGCCTAAGCAGGTGCTTTAGACCAGTGAGCTATCTCCCCAGCCCAGATCATTTTCTTATTCATAGCTCTTACTGTTTTCTTTCTTTCTTCTTTTTTTTTGCGGAACCTGCAATTGAACTCAGGCCCTTGTGCTTGCCAGGGAAGTACTTGTTCTACTGAGCCATCTCTCTGGCCCCTCTTACTGTTTTCTTGAAGATCCATTTATCTCTATCATAGTTTAAAAACTCTCTTGGTAGATTCACAATAGACAAAAAAAAAAAAAAAAAAAAAAGGAAAAAAAAAAACCATTTCTTTTATAAAGACTTTAATTGGACAGTTCTTCACTGCTTAAGACAGTTCATCAGAAGCTGCACTTTGAAGAGGGATTATCTGTGTTCTAGTTCTTACCTTTCCTCAGTAGATAGCTGAACTCAGCGTAAGTGCAGACAGCCCTCTGAGCCCAGTCTTTTCTCTTTTAACAAATACAGTGAAGCTTAAGATGAGTGTGTAATCTTGACCTGTATTGGGCCAGGGAGATGGCTCAGTAGAATAAGCGCTTCCCTGGCAAGCGTAAGGGCCTCAGGTCAGTGCCTGGTTCCACCAAAAAAAGAAAAATAAAAGAGCTTATTTTGACCTGTATTCTAAGTCTTTGAAGGCTCTGTTTTGACAAAGTTCCATAATGAATTTGAGTGAATAAAGTTCCATTTAAAAGATCAAGTATTCAGAAAAAAACTTTTTCTATAAATGTCAAAAGGGACATAAAATAATTCCAGTTAATCCATATCTACTTAGCTGTAAATTCCATGTTAGATTTAACTGTTGGTGATCAATTTGGTTCCTTTTGTGCTTATGCAATCACCCTTGGAATTCCTTATGCTTTGTTTTAAGGAGTAAGCATTAAAGGGCCGGCCAAATAGCACAAGGCTTGCAAGCAGGCACAAGGGCCAGGAGTTCCATCCCAGGGCAAGCTGAGATGGCAATTGAGACGGCATGGTGGCGTGAACGCCTGTAATCCCAGCTCTTGGGAGGCTGTAAACAGGTGGATCACTACAAGTCTGATGTAGTAGTGAAACCCTGAACACCCTGTAGAACCTTCCCTAAAAATACCAAAAAATTAAAGGAAAAAAAAAAAAAAAGGAGTAAGCATTACAACAAGATTCTTGGAGCTCTTAATGCCTTTTTTCCAACTTCTTCCAGCATTAATATCTAGAATAATGCATAGATGGTATACAGTCTGTCTGAGTGAGTTAAGTAGGTGTGGGATGTTAAAAATCCTGGTAGGAAATGAGTGACTTAGTACTGTTCTGTGGGGTAGTAGATTTGTGAGAACAGTTTAGAAAGTATACTTTGTAGTTTCTCCTAAGCAAAAGCCTCTTCATTAAAGAATAGAAGGTTCTAAAGGATCTTAAAAGATGGTTGATTTTTAATGTTTTCTAGAAACAATGAGAAATAGGTCATTCAGTTTTGTATAACAATAATTTTAAGTATCTTAAAATGTCCAACATTTGTGTAAAGAATATTTCTGACAGAAATATGAGATAATTTCTTACTAAAGGAATAGACTAGAAAGTTAAATTTTGCAGTTTTTTAAATTGTGCTGTTTTTATATTGATCATCTGAAAATCTTAGCTACTTTAACTTCACTCAGAACTTTGAGGCTATGTGTGTGCTGTTCCATTCTTTCTCAGTGAGGTGTTCTGTGCCCTCTTCCCTTGTGTACACCTTCTTTTTAAGCATCAAGTTTTATTCCTATCCCAGGTCCCTCAGTCTCAACTGCATGTATTTCTGTGACTAATGACTGCCTCCTTTACAATGCCATCAGCCCCAGGAGGCAGGGACTCTGTATTTGCTTACCTTTGTGTCCTCAGTAGTGGTTTGGAAGAGCAAAAAGATATTTCAGTCAAACAAACGACCCAGGTATGAACATTGAGAAAACTTTAATCTCCAATTGTAGGCTTTGGTTCTTTTAATTGCATTATTAGTAAACATCTTTTAAAAGTATCCATGTACTATGCAAAATTTATATTCTAGATAGCAGCAGTATTTTTTTTTTTAAATGCAATAACTTGTTCACTAATGTTATATGAGAAATTGGTTTTTGTGGGTTTGCTGGTTTTGTGGTATTGGAGATCAAACACAGGAGTGCTGGATCATTGACATCCCAACCCTTTTTATTTTTTTAGATAGAGTCAATCTTGTATAAATTCCCTGGGCTGACCTTGAATTTGCAGTCCTCCTGCCTCAGCCTCCAGAACAGCTAGAATTCACAGGCCTGTGCCTCTGGTGATTCTTAACGTTTTAAAGTAATTGGAACCAGCCTCACACTTCTGCAACTTTAGAAGACTTGTCTTTAACCTATGAGTTGTCAGCAGTGTCCTTTGTGTATTAAAAAAAAAAAAAAAAGTTTAGGAGTTTCTTATCTCTTTGATTTCTAACTTGATTGCATTGTGAAAAGGTTATCTCATTAAATAACTAGTACTAACCCTGGGAATTTGTTGAGGAGCTTTGTATCTATGAAAGCATTTTCACAGATGTCTTTCCACTGCATTGAAAAACTACATATTGTTGTATCTAATTGTATGTGTATGCCTGGTGTCCGTGTCCTTATAACTTTATTTTCTCTTTTGATCTCTTGGATCTTTTGTCTACTTAATAGAGACATTATGACAATTGGGTTAATGTAGTTACTTTAAGTTCAGTGTTACTTCCAGGTAAATGAAGTTTTTCCTCAATATAAAGTGACTATTTTTATGATTTTAATTAGCTTATTTTTGCTAAACATTTGCTTGATAAATAAAGAACTATAGCTGAATCACCTTTTTCTGCAGCCTGACTGATAAGAGGTTTTTGTTTGTCTATATATTTGTGTTTACTGATACATTTGGCTTTCTGCCTACTATTTTATACGTTTATTAAGGTCAGTCCCCATCTTGGAATGTGTAATTTGGCCTCCCGCATTTTGGGGGGCCTGTTTGTCTCATTTTTCAAGAGTTATCATAAGCTTGTTAACATATCTAAGTTAAAGTGCAAAGTTACTCCGGATTATTGCTCTTTGCCTGAATGACAAAAGACCTAAAGTTATTTGATTACAGTTATCCCTAGGATAATCAGTTAATGCTTAGTACTTTAGTTCTGTATTTTTCCCTACAAATGAGACATTTTATTTTTTATTTAGTATTTATTTAGATTTAATCCCATTGTACTGTGTCTTTGCTTGCTATTTTTTTCTTGTGTTTTCTGTCCTTTTTGGGATAATTTCTCTTCTGCCTAAACTGAATTGAGATTCCTTTCCTTTCTCTCTCTCTCTCTCTCTCTCTCTCTCTCTCTCTCTCTCTCTCTCTCTCTCTTTCTTTCTTTCTTTCTTTCTTTCTTTTTTCCTTGTATTTTAGGAGAAAGGTCCACAGGGTGTTCAGGGTCTCACTACTAGATCGGACTCCTAGTGATCTGCCTGTTTACAGCCTCCGAAGAGCTGGGAAAAGGTGCGTGCCACCACACCCAGTCTCAATTGCTGTCTCAGCACGCCCCAGGGACGGGGCCAGCACCAGCAGGCCCAGGGATTGAACCCTGGGCCCTTGCGCCTGCTTGCAGGCACTTTAATCAGCTGAATTATTTGGCCGGCCCTGCTGAATTGGGATTTTCATTTTTTAAAAATTGTACTGTAAGTAAATTTGTCACGTACAACAATATATTTTACCTTATTCTTTTTTTTTTTTTTTTTGGAACCAGGGATTGAACTCAGGCCCTTGTGCTTGCCAGGGAAGCACTTAATCCACTGAGCCATCAGTGGATTTTAGATTGACAGCATTTTCTCTCAGCATAATTAAGCTGTTCTTCCCTTGTTTTCTTTTTTCCTTCCCTTGTTTTCTGCTGGCTTTTGGATCACTGTCTTGAGAAACCAGCTAATTCCTGTTCCTCTGTTAGCGTTTAACTCTTCTTTCTGCCTACTTTTAAGACTTCCTATCTATCTTTGGTGTTCTTCAACTTGATTATGGTGTGTCTGTGTGTGGATTCATTGGCACAGGTTAAGGAGTGTCTTGGGTCCGAGAGTGGGTGCTTTAGTGCCACAATAGTGTGGCTCAAGAGAACTCTCTGTGGTGACTTAACGTCCCCTCTGTCCAGCCTCTGTAACCACCTGCCATATAAGGCTAAGGAGAACTGGAAATATGAGACTAAGAAAATGTGTTGTTAATTTTAATTTAAATAGCTACATGGAGCTAATGGCTACCATATTGGTGAGTGCAGTTCTAGAAAATTCTTAGTGATAATTTTGTGAAAATTGCTGCTTCTGCATTTTTCTTTTCTGGAGAAAATTAGTATGAAGAGGTTCAGCAAATATCCAGCTTTCCATCTCTACTTGTCGTGTTTTCCTTGTGCTGTATTCTGGATAGCTTCTTTGGCTCTTACCTTCAGTTTGGAATTCTTTGTTCAGTCAGTCCTAATATGCTCTTTATTTGTGTATTTAATTTTTAGTTTCAGTTCTATTCTTAGAAATTATATTTGCTTCTAGTTCAAATATGCTTGGTCATTCTTTATTCCTTCCAGTTCTTTGTTCATCTTTTTGTAGTGTTGTGTCTATTCTAGTATCAGAACTCTGATTCAGTCTCTCCTATTCTCATTCATGGTGGTTTGTTTTCTTAGGGTTGTTTGTTTCTCCTGAACTTCCCATCTGAGTGAATTCTGACAGCTGGACTGAAGCTGTATTCTTCCGGGAGAATTTGTGTTTGCTTATACCAGTCTCCTGGAGACACAACACCCTTAAGTTACTGTGCCTTTACTTTTGCCTTAATGTTTTTCCAGCCATATTGAGTAGCATACATGTGGACCTTTGATCTCAGGAGACATTGCCTCTGCTGTGCACCAGTAAGGCATTTTCCTGCTATCTCCTTTTGTGCATTTCTTAGACTGAATTCCTTTTGCAGGCCCAGCTTGTAGCTGATACAGAAGCTCATATCTCTTATCTTCCTGCCTCTTGTGCAGCTCTGAAAGTTGCAGCTCATTTCTCCAGGATTTAGTGGAGATTCCAAGGGTGAAATCCTGCCTCAGCACATGTCCTTCTCCTGAGCTTTTGCTTTTTCTTTGTTTTTGTCTTGTGGTCCACCCCAGAGCCTCTCCAATGCACGTGCTTGTGCCTGTTGTGTCTTTTGCTTTTAATATTATTCTCAGTATTTCAGTTGTTTCAGTCAAGTGGTGCCTCAAATATTAGTGTGCTACATTTACTGTAACAAATAGCAAACAAGAAAATGATGGGAGTAGAGTATGTTTCACACAGTCTCTGGTCCTCGAGGGAAAGGTTAAAAAAAAGCAAGGTTGTAAGCATTTGGTTGATACCAAAGCTTCAGTCAAGCTATCAAAGTTATACACTGTGGTCATGTTTCAACTTTCCAATTGGTGTTCCTTTTTCTTCCCTTCCTTCCCTTCCCTCCTTCTTCTTTCTTTCTTTGACAGGGTTTCATTATATAATCGAGTATTCTCCTGCCTTAGCCTCCCAAGTGTGGGGATTCCAATTGGTGTTTCTTTTTCTCCATTTTGTTCCTATTGACTAATAAAAAACATGATAGCTTTAGCCCTTATTCATTTAAGGCACTACAGATATAGTATTTAAGGATATAATTGGCTTAATGCAGTTTTTCTAATTGATTTTTAGTATCTGAATATGAAGCCATATAGTATTGTACCTGCAGAAGTAGTACTCAAAAATCATAGATTTGTGAATTTTCTTTCAGTTAAAGAGACATAACTTTAAGGATAAATGGAGGCAGGAAATGCAACTTTATTATGATAGCTGGTAACCATTATCTCAAGGAATGACAATTCCTTGAGATTGATTTGATCTTTTGAGCCTTTAGTCCGTGTTGTGATGTCAGTGTGAAAGACTTCTTCCTGTGAGCAGCTTTCCTTTGTAGCAGTGTTCTGGAGGAGGACAGAATTTCTGCAGTCTTAGCAGGGCTTCTGATACTGCTTACATCAGCTAGGCCTTTAAAGGAATGGAGTTATAAGATGTCTTTTTTTTTAATTCATTTAGTGAAATTTAACTCATATTCTTACATCAGTTGCTTTACAAATGCTTATACAGTACATCTCAGTCTGCAGGTCCAGACTTATTTGGTCAGATCCTAAATATTTATGTCAGTAGGTATTTCATTAGCTAATATGTGCCTGACAATAGAAGTAAATTACTTCACTCCTTCCCATTATGGTTTACATCTAAAATGCCCTCCTAGAGATATATATTCAGATATGGGGCTTCTGGAAGATGATTGGATCATAGAAGCACTCTACTCATCACTGGATTAATCCATTGATGATTTCCTACCTAGATATACAAGTAGAAGGTGAGGTCTGTTGAAGAACATGAGCCACTGGGCACATACCTTTGGAGAGTACAGTGGATCTTACTCCTGGTTCATTCTTTCTCTTTCTACTTCCTGGCTGCCACAGGTTAAGCAGCCTTTCTGTTCCAGTCTCTTCATGTTGCCTTTTTACCTTGGAGCCAGCTCATCAAACTGAACCCTCTGGAACCAGGAGCCAAATAAACCCCTCCTCTTTTCTCTTGCAGATGTCAAGTATTTTGTTACAACCCTGTGAACCCTAACACTCATTAAAAGAGCTGATGTTGAGATGTCAATAGGCTTTTTAAAATATACCAGTTAAGTGCCAGTTAAATGTATTTTAAAATGAAAATTTAGAGAAAAGTGCTTGAATGTGTAGATGTTTTTTTTAAAGATACACTTTTGAAAATTTGACAGTACTATTAACAATAGAACGTTCTTTCAGTTCTTAGAAAGTTTTTGTTTTAAAGATTGTCTTTCGCCATCTCACCAGCCCCTTCAGTTTCATTTGAATGTTCACCTGTCATATTTTTAAAATTGATCTGGTAGTGAACTTGTTTTTGTAAACTAAACTCATTATTTCTAGTAATTTTTGTGGAGTCTTTGAATTCTTTGTGATTTTCTACATATAAGAAAATAAAGTTGGAACATAAAAGCATAAAAAAAATAAAAAAATAAAGATTGTCTTTCAAAAGTACTTCAAAACAGACATCATTAAGGCATTTGCAGTCAAATTTTCAAATAAATCATTTTAATACCTACCTTTCTATGGAATTATAACAGTATTACCATCATAGTATTTGGTTGGCTTTTTTTTTTTTTTTTTTTCCTAAATATAATCTTTTTAGCTCATTTTTATTGATTTTCCTATGTTTTAATACTGGGAATTGAACTCAGAACCTTTCACTTGCCAGGCAGTCACTGTGCCCTGAGATATATCCCTGGCCCGCAGTATTTGTTTTTATTAAAATTAGTTTTTTGTTTTTTTTTTCCGTCAGACAGACATTTATTGAATATCAGAGTCCGAGCAAGTGCCTAGGCCAGCCCCGCGACCCCTCTGCAGAGAACTCATGATGTGAGCTCCTCCTTCCAGAGGGCTTTCCAGGAGGGTGGGTGCAGCTGGAGACAGCTGCTCATACAAAGGGTCTGCGGGGACACACAAGACAGTCCAGAGTGGGTGGTGCACCTCACAGGTGCGTTTATTCATGCCGCAGAGTGAACGCTGCTGATGGAGGTGTACAGTGACATTCTGTGCTCCCATCTAACACAGCTTGCTTAAATTTACAGGCAGACTGAGGCTTCATCTCGTGGGTACTCGAGAACTGGTTAATGGTGACCGTGAGCAGGCGCAGGACTTGAACCTTTTAAGGCTTTGCTTCTTTTATCTGCACTTCTGATTTTATAAACAATGAAGCTCATCAACCCCATTCCTATCCAGATCTCCTGGTAGACTTGGGTATAGTACGGCTTCATAGGGACCCAGACATTTTTAATTAAGCTTTGAAGCATCTCCGCAGGACCAACCGCCCAGGCCTCGGTGGACACCGCTCAACCGGGAAGGTCACCGACTGCGCGGGTGCCGCGCGGGGCCTGCTGGGACAGCGGAAGGGGCGGGGCCAAAATTAGTTTTTTTAATTACTAACAAATCCTGGTTTTTAATACAAGTAGTTCCCCCTTATCCAAAGTACATGGGACCACTCAGATGCAGAGCCACTCACCTTCTAATCCCAGCACTCAAGAGGCTGCGGCAGGAGCACACCCTCCAGTGTGAGGCCAGCCTGGGCCACTAGGCAGTGCGTGGAAGGCAGCCTGAAGCACACAGGGAGAGCCCATCTCAACAACATAAATTGGGCCCCCAAGTATTTCAGAAGATGTACATACACCCAGGTGATACTCTAGGCGTGGAACTGCAATCTAAGCAGGAAATGCATTTGCGTTCATGAAGGCAGTGCAACACAGCAAGCTTCATAGTGTTCTTGAGCCACAGGTGCAGGGTATCATATTTTCCACTCAAGCCATCATGCTTGGTGCTCAAAATTTTGGATGTTGGAGCATTTTGGATTTTTGGGTAAGGGATGTTAATTCTACTATGCCATGGCAAGGTAGAAATGCTTTTTTTTTTTTTTTTT